TAAAAAGAAACGAGCTATCAAGCTATGAAAAGACATGAGGAAACTTAAATGCATATTATTAAGTGAAGGAAGCCAATCTGAAAAGGCTACGTACTGCATGATTCCAACTATATGACATTCTGGAAAAGGCACAACTGTAGAGATGGTAGAAAGATCAGTGGTTGTGAGTCAGCCCTGATGGCCTAGTGGCTAAAGTTCAGTGTGCTCCACTTCAGTGGCCCAGGTTCGGTTCCCAGGTGCAGAACCACACCCCTCATTGTCAGTGGCCATCCATGCTGTGGCAGCAGCTCACATTTAAAAAAGAGAGAGAGAGAGAGGAATATTGGGAACAGATGTTAGCTCAGGGTGAATCTTCCCCAGCGAAAAAAAAAGATCCGTGGTTGCCTGGAATTCAGGGTGGGGAGGGGAGGGATGAACAGGTGGAGCATAGAAGATTTTTAGGGCAGTAAACCATTCTGTAGGATACGGATAGTTTCGAGTTAATGGTGGCTACATGTCATTATTATACACTACACATTTGTCCAAACTCATAGAATGTACAACAAGAGTGAACTCTAATGTAAACTATGGACTTTGGGTGGTAACGATGTATCAATGTAGGTTCATCAATTGTAACAAATGTCCCACTCTAGTGGAGAATGTTGATGGGGGGGAGACTGTGTGTGTCAGGGGGGCAGGGGGTGTATGAGAATTCTCCATACTTTCCGCTCACCTTTGCGGTGAACCGAAAACAGCTCTAAAAATAAAGTCTATTTAAAATGTGTGTATGGTGTGGGGATTAGATAGATATATATATTTTTTTCCTCGAGGTCTGTGCACTGAGAGGGCCTGGGACTAGCAACATCTCACTGGCAATGAGCACCCCCAGCACCCACATCTTGGCTTCTAAACACCATTTTCCACTAAAAGGAACCAGAGATCCTTGCAGAGGATGGCTGATTCCAAGGCTGAGGCAGAGAAAATATGAGATGAGCCCAGATCATCTTGTGCTGGAGAGCAAGAAAGTGTTCAAAGAGTGGTGGAGAAATGCCAACAGGACACGGAAGCCAGCTTGAATGGGATGCTACTGGCCAAATTGGAGATAATTTGAGCCTCAAAATAATGAGGGTAATATATTATAAACCAATTAATAAAATAGGAATCTGGAGCATCCCTGATGTGACTCCACCATCCCCACAGGGTCTGATGTCTCAGGCGATCATCTACCCAAGGCAACGTGAAAGTGAGGATCCAAAAAAGTCCAAGGCACATCCCCCATCCACTCCCCCACCTACCTGCAGTGATTGCAAAGTACATTCACAAATTCTGACACTTTCATCCATCAAGAGTCAATGTCTCCTCCCCCCTTGAACCGTGGCTGGACTTAGCGACTTGCTAAAGACTGACAGAACACAGAAGAAACGATGCTGCACGACTCCTGAGGGCTTCCGCTTTGTCTGCTGAAATGCGTGTGGAGCCCCGAGCCGCCATGTAAGGAGTCTGATTACTCTGGGGCTGCCATGCTAGGAGGGAGCTCAAGCCACATGAGGAGGCCACATGTACACACTCCAGTCAGCAATCCTAGACTTCAAGTCATCCCAGCCCAGCCACCAGAGTGAAGTCATGTGGGTCCCTCAATGCCAGTCCTTGCCAGCTGAAGACCTGAGTGACCTCAGTCATCACTACAAGAAGCCAAAGAAACCTCCAGCTGAGACTTGCCGAAATGACTGACCCACACGATCTGTGGGCATAATAAAACAGTTGTTTCAAGCCACTAGGTTTGGGGTCATTTGTCACAAAGAGAGGAATCAGAACACTACGTCAGATCACCTCCTTGTCCCTGGGAATTTCTCAACATTTTACATTTTTTCTCAGATCAAGGCTTTTTTTTTTTTTTTTTTAAAGTTTTTTTTTTTTTTTTTTTTTGCTTGAGGAAGATTAGCCCTGAGCTAACATCTGTGCCAGTCTTCCTCTATTTTGTATATGGGACACTGTCACAGCATGCGTCATGAATGGTGTAGGGCCATGTCTGGGATCCAAACCCGCAAACCCGGGCTGCTGAAGCAGAGCGTGCTGAACTTAACCACTAGGCCACGGGGCTAGCCCGCCAGGCTTCTTTCTTTCAGTTTCTCCAAGGTTAAATTCGGAGGAGGGAACTAGTAGCCCATGCTAGTTCATCATTTTATCCTTTGGTGTGCTTTGTAGTTTTCGTTTGTGAGCTTAAATTTGGTTGATCTTAATCTGCTGTAATTCTGCATGAAGCCAGCTGAGAGTGGATTCCTTGGCTTCGGCCGGAGCCTACTTTCCGTTCATTTCTATGCTTGGGGTTTCCTGGAACACTCCACAAGGGTCAATCCAAACCCCAATCTGGCCTGAAGAAAGGCCTCTGGTCATGAATTCCCTGGGGAAACATTTCCTCCACCCAGAGCCCAAGTCGAGGTGGACGAGTTTCCTAGGTGTGCCTTGATGGTATCAATCAGCTTTTTATCTACCACATTCTTTCACTGAAGGGGTGGCTCTTCAAGGGACCAAGTTTTATGCAGGGGCCTCTGCTTCTCTCGACACCCTGGCCCAAGGCCTGGCAGCTGTTAAAATCTAAGGCCTTAGGTCTCTGGTATTGGCAAACGCTGTCAGGGCATCTATGGTTTGAAGTCACCTCTTCAAACCTATGGACCCAGATTTCCCAGGTTCTCTTCTGAGCTCAGCTGTACATTTAACAGGATGCTCTTTGATTTGTGTGTGTGTGTGTGTGTGTGTGTGTGTGTGTGTGTGTGTGAGGAAGATCGGCTTTGAGCTAACATCCGCCAATCCTCCTCTTTTTGCTGAGGAAGACTGGCCCTGGCCTAACATCCACGCCCATCTTCCTCCACTTTATACGGGACGCCACCACAGTATGGCCTGACAAGCGGTGTGTCCGTGCGCGCCTGGGATCCGAACCGGCGAACCCCAGGCCGCCAGAGTGGAGTGCGCGCACTTAACCGCTTGCACCACCGGGCTGGTCCCGTGCTCCCTGATTTTTAAACCGGTATTTCTGGGTATTTTTCAGAGGCAACCACACTGTAGAAGCACCAGCCTCAGAGTGTCCTTTACAAAAGACAAAAGACACATCTAATGACATTCTTCTCTGCTTACCAGTTGTTCAATAAAGGCCAGGAATCTTTACCTGGTTTAAAAGCCCAGCTTCATCTGGCCCCTGCTGGTACCACACTCAGCGCCCCGTCCAGCCGCTGCCCCATCTCCACTGCTCTTTCCACTGCAGGTGGAGAACAGAAGATGTCACCTTCTTCTGCTACTTCATTAGGCCATGCTCCCTTCTGACTCAGGACCTTTGCACATGCTGTTCCCCCTGCCTGCAACTCTTCTCCACCCCACTCCAGTTTCACCTACTTACACCTTCAGGGCTCGGCTCAAACTCACTCGTCACCTCCTCAGGGAAGCCATGTGACCCACCCCCAACCCCCCAAGATCAGACAGATCTCAGTTACACCTTCACAAAACTCCTGCACTGCTTTATGGCACTAATCACAGTGCCAGGAAAATGATCAAGTTATAATTGTTAAAACTATCCATTGATTGATGAAACTATTTTATTAATGTCTGTCTCCCTCAGTGGACCATCAGCTCTGTCAGGGCCCGGCCTGGTGTGGCACCCCCAGTGCCCAGCACAGGACAGGCACAGCACAGGCGCCCCATAAATGCGTGCTGAATGAATGAAACACAAATAAATGCAGGGCCAGGGCAAAAAACTCGGGGCCCTAACTTCCCAGCTACAGCTTCACCTTCAAGAGGCCCGGCACAAAGGAGCCCTCTCTTCGGACCCCTGTTCTCAAAATCGCCAACCAACCCACCCTCAGCTGAGGCGAGGAGATAAGAGGAATTGGCCATATCAGTAATGGTTTTAAGTTTTAATGAGTCTGCTATAGAGCGCTCTTCCTCACCTCTCCATCCTGGGGGCTCAGATCTCAGCTTCAGGCTGGGATAACAGAGTGGGGGCGGGAAAGAAATGTGAGTGGGACCAGAAGAGGGAGCAGGTGAGAAGGAGCAGAAAGGAGCTAAGCCCAGACCCTGAGACGAGCCAGGAATCCAAGTCCTTTTAGCATCCAGGGGCCAACACAGTGCATGAACACCATATGTGTGGCCCTCATCTGCAAAGTGGTGTCATCTTGTGTCCCAAGTACCAGGTCAGGGCTCTACTGGGCCCTAAGTGCCTGAAGGGTGCCACCATCGGCCTGGAGAGTCAGGAGGAGGCCCATCCTGTATCTGGAGCTTGGGCAGAAGGTGCCACCTTGGCCTGGAGGATGAGGAGGACACACTAACTTGGGTCTGGAGGGTCTGGAGGAGATGCCCTCTTGGGCCTGGAGAGTCAGGAGGTGGACCCCTGTGGGTCAGTAGGGGCCTCATCTGGGGTCTGACGAAGGACACCAACCGTAGGGGGTCTTCAGAGCCCAGGATCAGGTAGGTAGTACAAACAGGATGGGAAAAGCACAAAGAAGCAAAACTAATCCTAAGGGGACAGCTGGATCCAGGATACCAGATCAGGCCAAGGGACTGGATGGAGCCAAGCCCAGGGAGGAGGACCCAGGAGACGGCAGAGCAAGAACTAGAACCAGGAGACGGAAACAGGGGCCTGGGGAGCAGAAAAAGGGCCCAGCCTCGGGGGACAAAATTCCAGAAGTGGAGCTAGGACCAAAACCGGAGCCCAGGGAGTGAAGGAGGATGCCAGGGAATGTGCAGCAGATTCTGGGGCTCCTGTGGGAAGAGGCAGGAGCAGCCTCTGGGAACAGAAGGCAAACTCAGAAAAGGCAGAGAGCACAGAGCTCCCAGGAGGCAGACAGATCAAAGAGCAGCTAGTTACATAAGGGCTGGAGCCAGGCCTTAGAGACAGGCTCGCAACCAGGGAGCAGCGCCAGGACCAGAAGGAGGAACCAGATGCAAGGGGCAGGGCAGGACTACACACCAGAGGATGAACCCATTACCCACCCGACGCACAGCATCATCCAGGTGGCAGGGTTAGCCCTGAAGGTGACAGCAAGCTGGGAGGCGGCTACACAGGGTACAGAGACAGGTCCCAGAGGCCCCAAGGCCTACCCCCAAGGCGCAGAGTCAGGCGGTGCAGTGGGTCATGGCTAGGCCCGCGGTCCCGGGTCTTGCTCCAGCTCGGTCCCCGGCACGCCGCGGATGTCGGGCAGCAGGCGGCAGCTGGCCACGATGTCCAGGCGCTCGGCCAGCGCGCAGAGGTCCCCCCGCGCCAGGCGCACGCTGTGGGCCGCCGCCAGCCCCGCCGCCTGGGCG